CTGCATGGTGTTGGTTGAATGACTTAAAAAACTGCATGGTGTTGGTTGAATGACTTAAAAACACTGCATGGAGTTGGTTGAATGATTTGAAAGCACTGAACTTCTGAAACTGTTTTTATACTGTTTAGAGCTTATGTATTTTTAGTGCAAAGTGCCCTTCATGCAACTGACCATTAAGCTTTATGCTAGAAAAGCAGAGTATTTCTGTTATAGAAGTTTTAAGTATAACCTTTGCCCCACATGGTCTGTTTAAATCAGGTATTATCAAACTGCAGGTGGCAAAAAGGTGTGACAAATCTCTTTGAACTTTTTTTTTGTAAATACTAATACATTACAAATACTAATATGTTGTAAATACTAATATATTATAAATACTAATGTATTGTAAATACTAATATGTTGTAAATACTAATGTATTGTAAATACTAATATATTATAAATACTAATGTATTGTAAATACTAATATGTTGTAAATACTAATATATTATAAATACTAATATGTTGTAAATACTAATATATTAGAAATACTAATGTATTGTAAATACTAATATGTTGTAAATACTAATGTATTGTAAATACTAATATGTTGTTTCATCTTCTCAATCTCTTCACTGTTTGCAGGGAAAGTATTTCATTTTTTAAAGTTTTTAGTTCATTTCATATACTTGTGCAAAGCTACATAAGACCTGTGTAAATAGCCATCCCTAATTTTGAACTGGATCTGTTAATATTCTGTTTATGTAGTGTACATCAGGACTTCTTCAACCAGATTAATACCTTCTCTGACTTGTTAAGAGTTTTGTTTACATTAGTGCTCATTAGAGCTTCTTGAATGTGTTTAATACTGTCTCTAAACTATAGTAATGGTTGTGTCATCAGGACTTCTTGAATGTGATAAATGTCTCCTTTTATCTGTTCAGGTTTAAGGAGCTCTCATGTACTCTGAGATCAAAAATTGTTTGCAAGTTCTTTCAGGCCTGTTTTCTCCTATCAAGAAATTTTAGACTGATTAAAAGATTGAATGTCAAATTGATGAGAATGTGTGCAAGTTTGATATACATATAAACTGGATGTACAGAGTAGGGGGAGTTCACCTGGGAAGAGTTACACTGAAGCAGGATAGGAAGTATTGTTTAAGGAGACTCTTATAACTGGAACTGGATGTACAGAGTAGGGGGAGTTCACCTGGGAAGAGTTGCACTAAAGCAGGATAGGAAGTATTGTTTAAGGAGACTCTTATAACTGGAACTGGATGTACAGAGTAGGGGGAGTTCACCTGGGAAGAGTTGCACTACAGGAAGTAGTATTTGTGGCAAATTTTTCTTTGAACTGTTTAAAGTAACATCAATTGGTAATGAGTACTGGTTGAAATATTAAGATCAATGACTGGTTCATCAAGACTTGTCGATCATCAAGTTATAATTAGTTAGCTACATTTTCAATAAGTTGAAATGAAACAATGTTGATTACTTGGATTTCTTTTTTCAATGGGTCCAGAATAAATCTTTACTAAACTAAAGGCATAAAATTTGTTGTTTAATTACTGAAACAAAAAATTATAAGCTGATGCAGGACTTACAACTTGGTAAAGAACACAGTATGTTAACCTTTACCAACTGATGTAATGACTCAACAGACAATTAAAAACTGAGGCAGGACTTGCAACTTGGTGAGAAACACAGTTTGTTAAACTTTACCAACTGATGTATTGAATCAACAGACAATTAAAAGTTGAGGCAGGACTTGCAACTTGGTGAGAAACACAGTTTGTTAAACTTTACCAACTGATGTATTGAATCAACAGACAATTAAAAGTTGAGGCAGGACTTGCAACTTGGTGAGAAACACAGTTTGTTAAACTTTACCAAC